CCCCTGCCCCCCCCCCCCGCCCCCCAGGCAATAAATAATGACCTGTCCCTAAATGGTCTCTAAAGCCATTTTACAACAATATAATGAAGTACCCAAAAGCCGGGAAAACTCACGCTTGACTGGGAAAAATTTTACATACCGTGTATAACTAGCCTTAGAATCTGTAAACCTGTTTTTTTACGTTTCAGGAGATAGTTTCGGAATAAAAGAGCCTTTCCCTGAAAGTATCTACCCTATTGAGGGCACTTCTGCTCAAGTTACTTGCGTGGCTTTCGATTCATCGGGAATGAAAATTCCCGAAAGAATACAGTTTGTGAGGAAAGATAACTTTGCTCGTTACACAAATGTAACAGAGACTGAAAACATTGAACTTGAAGAAATGAGAGGTCCGATAGACCAAGGTGAGTTGTTCAGTACCTTTGAGAGCATATTAGGCCTTTGCCGATTGTGCTAGCAACGTTTGAGTATTAATTGTTTCTGAGACTAAATAACTCTATTTTGCGTTTTGAGCAGAGCTGCACACTTTTTCAAAATTCTAGCAATACTTCACACTTTCAATAAATTTCCAGCGAAAATTGCTTGTTTTCTGTGAAACATCAAATATTTATTAGCTTAACTGTGCAATTTTGATATTTTTTATTTCTTTTTTTTTTACTGTGCACTACTAGTTTTTTGGTCTGGACGAAGACTGTTGTTGTCGCGGAAAAGCAAGCGGGCCCTCTTGTGCATGGAAACGAAAAGAGCTGACCATTTGACTTTTCAGGGGGGTATGAGTGATTTGGTTTGGGTAAAGAAATTCTCCCCAACCTCTGGAGTTAGATTCTTTCCCCGATATACACCTAATATACCTGTAAGTGTACATTATTTTCAGAGCAGGAAGTTTTTCCCCTAGGTATTTCCTTGCAAGATTTTTCTCCCCTCGAAATCAGTCTACAAGATATATTTTTTCCTGAAATCACCCATTCCTTTCCCGCAAAAGTCAAATCATCGGTCCCTAAGGTTTTTAAAATAACAATATGCAAAATAGATTGTGAAATGACACGTGCTCGCAGTGATTAGGTTTTCAGGTCTCATCAGAGTGTCTAAGCTTTTGAGTAGTGGTGTAACACTCAAAATTTACGACCTTCCTGCAGGGCTCGACTCTGTGCATGTCTCGTTGCAAGGATTGTCTTGATAGACATCATCAGTTTATTTGCGAGACGGTTAAAAAAACTGTAATAGTGCGACATACTGTGGTGTACTATATTTGTTATTTGTGGGAACTTTTAATATACATGTCTAATATGTAACTCTTACATCCCTTTATCAAAAGGCAATCAAAAGCTCTCTGTAACCATGATTATTAAGAATGTTTCACTGAATGATGACAGTACCTTTGGTCCACTGGGAAGGTACGAGTGTCACGCTTTTGCAGTTGGTGACCCTGTGGAGAGAAAACATGGATTTAGTGTCAATGTTGTTAGAAGTAAGTCATTCTCGTTGAGCAGTGGTGGGGCAGTCACTCGCTGTTAGCGGCTTAAGCCTTAGACGTTTGCTACCCCAGATAAAAATTTTTTCTAGAAAATTTCCAAAAGTATATATTTAGAAAGGAGAAGAGTTTTCTTTAACCAGCGATCAGAAGTTCACTTCTTTCTTTCTGATCGCAGGTTAAAGTTTCTATGGCGCTAATGGAGTTAAACGAGGTTTACAAGTTGTATTGTTGGTTTTCACATGACGTAACTAAAATTCAAACTACAAAACTATCAATGCTACTGAGATTTTACTTTCATATTGTATTAGAGAAGCTGAAAACTAATGTTCAAAAAATTTTCGCTTTAAAAGAGTTCTTGGTTTTGTAATAAAGTACGCTTGAATTTCTAAGCTTTTGGGTGACTCAGCATTTACATGACCGCCAAGAGAGCTGTCATGTAGGTTAAAAAAGTGAATTTTGCTCTCTAATCAGTTCATGTATTAGAAAAAGTATTACTTTAATGTTTATGGGTTCCTCTAGGAGAAAATTAACACTTTTTAACAGATATTTCTGCTGGTTTCCGTCCGCCATGTTGGTGCTAATCTGGGTGGGCACCAGCATGGCGTCTCCATACAAATCTCTATAAATTTGGGTAAATAACTTATCTCGCATACGAATTATTCCTTCGACATAAATCTTGGCGAGGGTCTTTGTATATTTACCTCCTTTCATTTCCCAGATTCTGGACTTTATCTATCGAATGGTTTTGATTTTGATTTTTATCTATTTTGAATGGCGTGACACTGGAAACCAGCAATTGGTCTAGTTTAGAACAAGTTGTGGATCTTGTGAGACGACTTATTGGCTGTCTCTGCTAACTTAAATATAGTCTGTCAAGGTGAGATTTCTTTTAAGTATGATCAAATATATGTCGACTGCTTCTTGCAGAAAATGGACAGTTAAAATAGTTCAAATGATTGATAAACTCGTTACAGGTGGAAATTTGTGACATAGCCTTACGATTTCAAACATCAGTTTTCTTGAGGTCGAAGTTTAGAGTGCCTTTGATGTCTATTTAGAAGACGAGATCCCTTCTGTAGCTGTATCGAAATTCGGACTGCTACGGCATGGCCAGAACATAACGATCATTTGCAGCGTGACTAAAGGCTCGCCGGCAAGTAGAACAACGCTGACGAGGATTTCATGGTTTAAGAATGGGATGTTAGTGGAATCAGTTCGAAATCCAGATCCCGATAATCCACAAGATCGCCTTAAACCTCTCATTATCAGAGATATTGGGGCCAGAGATGATGGAGTTTACACGTGTCTTCTTGAAGTGTTGCTGCGCCATATCAAAGCACACAATGTGTCGGACAGCAGTGTGATAAGTAAGCTTCTATTTTAGCTTTGAATAAATGAAAGTAGATTTTCCATGAGGTATTATACCACTTATTAACCGAGAGTGAAGTCATTACAGTGAAACTTCCGTCCTCGCCCTTGATGAGTTTGATGTATTGACCTCGTTATCGCTAGGTCAATACATCAAGGTCTCGGTCTGAGATTAGTGCGTCAAATTTCCTTGTAATGACCAAACGGACAAAGTTAGTAAGTTATTTATTAAATGGCCTTTATAGCGCTCATAATAGTGGAGCTTCACGCGCGGAACCCCATAGCTAAGGAAATGTGGTAATCTAGCCTCCGAGAAAATTTGGTAATCTCGTGACCGTACACTGAGCGAGCGACCGTCCGTCCGCACCACAGGCATACCAATTTAAAATAATCCAATCAACAGGTGCAACTCAAGGTTTCATTTGGAAGGAAATCGCATGGCCGCCCGGAATTTTAGAAAGAAAAAACAACAAAAAAGTCGTGTCTTTATCGGCCGTTATTTTTTATGTTTACATTAACGCGGATAACAGAGAAAGAGCTAGAGTGAGTTATTGAAAACAAAGAAGACGAATTTCGTAGGGAGAAAAACATGGAAATTCAAAGTTATCAAGTTAAACACAGATTGTATATGCCTTAGACACCTTGCTAATTATGTCCAGTCATTACAAGAAAATCTTGCCCGCTTAGCAGGCAATCAGAGCACGCGTACTATTGTAGCCATGTAATAAATAATATAATACCATGTAGAAAATCTATCAATTCTTTTCTTGTTGTTTTTGCTGTGTTATTTTTATCTTCTTCTTTTCATGTTTTGAGCCGTTAAGTTTATGTTTTGCTCAGTTTGGTGACATATCTCACTGTCTGAATTTTATTAAATTTCGTGACCGTACAGCTCCTTTTGGACCTTTATTTGAAAAGTAAAAAATAGAATATGTGAGAGCATTTATGCTACTTACAGAGACGCTATAAGACGGCGTCGTACCAGTATGAGCCGACTTAACAGATTAGCATTACATCAGTTAACTATTTCTAAGTACATGGAACAACCATCCTTTTAAAACTATTTAATCAAATTGACCTAACAGCGTCATTTTTGTTTCCCTGATTTCCTACAGTTGCACCGTGGGTTCGACGGGCCAACGATTGTGATACTAAAGTTACCATTGTGGAAGGGCAATACATTTCTGTTACGTGCGCGGCCAAGGGATTTTCATTTCCTGTTGAATAAAAGGTTCAGAAGGATAGTGAGGTTTTTGTACGGTCCTGCCTAACTGAGATTGGCTACAACTCATTTGAGTATAAAAGTTTGCGACAGCTTTTCAAGGAGTGTATCTCACTTTGTCCAAAATATGATGTAATGGTGCCCGACTAAAATAGTTTAGAAAATGAAATTTCATCGGAAACACAAAGAAACGCCAAAAATTATAAAAACTATGACATGAAATTGAAATTATCGTAAAACACATAAAAATATGGAAAAAACCTCAACCAACTAAGAAAGAAGACTAACATTTGTTGTTCATGCCATCGCGAGATCCCTCGCTGAAACTAATTTCAAGTTCTCTTTGTCGCGGAAGTTATGGCAACTAAATCATTAGACCGGCCTCGCCCCAAGTAAGGGAATCCGGATTCCGGAATGGAAATTTCTGCTTGTGGGTTCGGGAATCCGGGAAAAGTTTTCTCGTGGATTCCTAAATTGTGGGCTTTCGAATCTGGAATCCCCCCCCCCCCCCCCCCCCCCCCCCCCCCCCCCCCCCACCCCCCCCCCCACCCCCCCACACTCCCTCCCCCCCTTGTAACATGTAGTTTGGAGGAATTTCCAAAAACTGTAACTAGCTGTCCTACCCCATAGTAGGAGAGCGAGTTTTTGGGAGGAAAATTTTTTCATGTGGGTTTCCGAGCTGGACAAAAAGTTTTCTGGCGTGTTACTAATTTTGAATCTTCCAAAACGAAAACCCCCCCCCCCCCCCCCCCCCCCCCCGACCCATGCCTTGAACTACTTGAGCATTTCCTTTATAGTCCACCCCACCCGCTAAAAATAAGCAGATTAATTTAAAATATATTTTTGGTTCTGTTGAAAGTCGATAACGGCTCACTTTTTTTCCTTTTTTGCTCCCCTTTAGGTGGTTCCGAGAATGGCAGGTAGGATGTTGTTTTTCAAATGCTTCTACGCTTCTGTAATTGACCCCACCTTGCTTGTCCATACCTTCAACACCTGACCTCTTAGGAAAATTCATTTTCTATTTGCTATTTCTTCAAATGAGCTTTGACCCAAGAAGAGTGACAAGTGCCCCCACCACTTTTGAATGGTCATAACCTTTGAAAGAAAAAAAGGAACCAATAATCTTCATAGGGGAATTTGTAAACGTCATGTAAGCAGGTTATTTCTCTCAGTGTCCTCGCTTTGTATTCAGTAAAAGGCAAAAAATCTGAAATAGATTTTAATTTATACACCTATGTTTTTCGGTAAGATCGAGTACTTAGAGTGCTTATTGTAACGCCAACAAGCTTGGTTTCCAAGTGTTACCTCTGGAAGAGTATGAAATCCCTTCCCATGGGTTGGATGAGAGGGGATTTGTTAGGAGGCTAAAAGCCCTGACGCCCGCCTCCGTGGTGCATATCAAACTAAGGCTGTTAAAGAAAGAGTCTGTGATGCAATTGAAATAGAATAATGCCTAATAAGTCTGATGATCTATTTTGTTTTTTCTAGCATTTGCAAAGGATATTTGTTAGCATCGATAATTCTAAGGTATGGTAACGCGTACACTACAATTACAGTCATAATACTCTGCAACTTTCGCTTATTACTTAATAGGAATGTGTGGCTTTTATTAATTGGGAAGAATTATTGAGATTTTTGATGAAACTTTGTACACTGTTGTAACAAGTGAAGAAGAAGATTAAAACGTACTGACATGTAGGGCTCAACGTGCAAAGATATAATTCTGAAAAAGACAGCTATTTAGGGGCCTTTGGCAATAACTGCCGCTTTCCAAAAGTCATAACTAGTCGGCCAGACTGGTCAGTTTGAAAATGGGACCCATCACTACCGTGCATATCATTTAGGACATATTAACTGGTCTGGCTGCATATTCCAGTTTCGCAAAAACACATCACTTCGATTCTGATGAAGTTACTGCTGTTGTAAGCCACGGCTTGGTTGCGCAAACGTTACTGAACAGTGTATTGTATACCGTGAATAACCTTATAAACGCCCACTTCCAAATAAACGCCTCTTATCTAATAAGCACCCCCTCTACGCTGTTAAAATTGTATTAGACGCCCCTCTCTAATAAACGCTCCCTGTCTAATAGACGCCCCTGTGAGAATTACTCCAAAATACTAGGAATTAGCAAAATGGAGCAAAATCATTAAGTTTATTTAGTTTGTTGCCTGATTTTCAAGGCTTTGTGTATTTCATTTTGTTGTATGTCAAGTTTAAAGTAAGGATAGACTGAAGATGGCAACACAATAACCCTGAGCGAGGCCTCTGTTATCGATGTTGGTATTTGAAAGAGCGATATATAGATCTCTAGATGGCCTCCACGTATCAACTGATGGAGTATAGATCTTCCGCAAGTTCGTTACAATTATTAGAATAAAAGCTTCTCGCTTTAAAACGCCTCTTATCTTAATTAAACGCCCCCGCTTATACCCCTAAAATTAGATAGACGCTCCGGGAGTTTATCGGGTCATTTACAGTATGCCATTTATTCATTTATTTATACATATACCTCAATTCATGGCAATAGTCATTTTTAAATGATGCGGTTTTCTTGTAGTGCGATTATGAACTTCCTGACGAAGAAGCCATGACGTCAAGTTGAAGAAGTGTACGATGGTTCTCTGCACTCAAACGACATGCGGTAGCTACCGGAGAGAAAATGGACACCACTCACACAGAAGTTCTTTTTCATTCTGGATGGCGTCGGCGTCGTAGCTCCGCTTTTATTAGATTTTTGCTTAAGTCTTTTTAACCAAAAGCAGTCCTAGTAAACGGGGAATCTCATAGCAGCTCTCGTTTGTATTCAATAAATGGTGTGGTCGCTCTGTATGTTCATTTGTCTGCACCGTAATTTTTAGGGAGTTATTATAACTCCAAAAATGGAGTAAAAATTTTAGGTACAGGATAACCCCTTTTTTGGGGTTATTTTAACTCCTAACTTAACTCCGAATTTGGGGTCATTTTTACTCCTGAAAAAGAGTTCTTTTTACTCCCACTCTGGAGTTAAAATTACTCCGAAATGGGGTTATTTGTACTCCTTACATGGGTTGTTTTTACTCTTTTTGGAGTTAATTTAACTCTGAAAGTGGAGTAAAAATTTTAGGTACAGGATAACTCCGTTTTTGGGGTTATTTTAACTCCTCAATATCTGGGGTCACTTTTACTCCTGAAAAAGAGTTCTTTAAACTCCTTTTTGGAGTTAAAGTAACTCCACGAAAAATAACTCCACTGTAAGGAGTTAAATTAGCCCCACCAGAGGAGTTATTATAACTCCCTGAAAATTACAGTGTGTGAAGGTTCAATTGCGTTTTTTTTTAATTGAAAAGAAGTATTGCTGTGCCAGTATCAATATCACTTTGGTTTCTGATTTCCCTGGAGTGACGAGTTTCTTCCAAGCTGTTTGTATGATTTGCTTGTTGCTTTAAGCTTAATTTTTCGTTTATCTTATTCAAGATTTCATTCAGGCTTGTATAATTGTTTTTCTCCCCTTGTTTTGTACAATTTATTTGACTTCTTTCTTTTTTCAGTTGGATGTGAGTGTATGTTTGTGTTGTGTTTTTTTTTGTATGTCATTCCGACCCTAATATTGTAATTGATTCTATGTAATTTGGCTTCCTAGACTTGTTAACTCTCTAGATATTTAATGAAGCCAACACCCCTTTCAACTCTGATTTCACCGCAGCAGGATTAGCTCAGTCGGTAGAGCGCTTGATTACAGAGCGGGAGGTCTCGGGTTCGATTCCCGGGGCCGGACCAACACTCAGGGTCTCAAAATAACTGAGAAATGAGGG